GATCTGGGGGCACAGTTGGTGTTCCCCTCCATTTTACCTGTTGAATGCCATGGAGCTGGAAGGGAGAACAATATACTGGAAGTGAATGGCTGGTTATGTAGATGGTGCCATCAAGAGGGATTTGGCTTCCTGGACCGTGGTATGTACCTCCAACATGAGGGACTGTTGGCAATGGATGGGGTGCACCTTACAAAGAATGGGAGGAATGTCTTTGCTGGAAGACTTGCAAACCTGATCAGGAGGGCTTTAAACTGAAGCTATTGGAGGTGGGAAGAAAAAGCCTGATGTTGTGCGGCATCCCCAACAATGAATGGGAGAGAGGTGAGTTCAGTAATTTTCAGGTAAATTCGAAGGGACCTATGATAGGAAAGGATGTCTGTAATCTGAGATGTCTTTGTACTAATGCACAGAGTATGGGAAATAAACAGGATGAACTTGAACTTCAAATATTGGAAAGTAAGTATGATCTGAGGGTATCACTGAGACTTGGTGGGATGAGTCTCATATATGGAGCACAGCAATTGAAGGATATACCTTGTTCAAACAGAACAGAATAAACAAAAAAGGAGGCGGAGTGGCACTATGTTTTAAGAATGAATACGCTTGCGCTGAAATTCAGGATTTCGAGAGGATTTCGAGAGTAGCCCGGTTGAAAGTGTGTGGGTAAGGATAGAGTGAGGGGGGAAAGAAGAGGATATTGTTGTGGGGGTATACTACAGGCCTCCGAACGAACTGGAGGAACTAGATGATGCATTTGTACAACAACTTGCTAAACTTTCACAGAGACAGAATGTAGTGGTTATGGGAGATTTCAACTGTCCAGATATTTGCTGGAAATCTAACTCTGCTAGACATGGGGCATCCTGCAGGTTTTTTTAATAGTGTTGCAGACAACTTCATTTCCCAGAAGGTGGAGGTGGGAACCAGAGGATCTGCTAACCTGGATTAAATCCTGACTAACAGGGAAGAACTGGTTGATGAAGTGAACATTGTGGGATGCTTGGGGAATAGTGACCATGTCAGCTTGGAATTTGACAGAGAAGGATGTGAAACCAGGACATAGTAGGACTCGTATCCTGGACTTCAGGAAAGCTGATTAAAAAAAACTAAGAGAAATATTAGGTAGGATCCTGTGGCTAGAAATGCTGAGGGGGAAATCTGCACAGGAAAGATGGTGGATGCTGAAAAATGAAGTGCTCAAGGCAGAATCGCAAACTGTCCTGGTGAGAAAGAAAGGTGGGAGATGGCTAATGAAGCCGAGGTGGCTGAACAAGGAACTCTCTGAAGTGCTGAGACTAAAAAGGGAAATGTACAAGAAATGGAAGGAGGGACAAATTACTGAGGGTGAGTACAAGAAGCAGGCTCGAATCTATAGGGATGGTGTCAGAAAGGCTAAGGTGCAGATGGAGCTGAGGCTTGTGAGGGATGCTAAAAATAACAAGAAAGGTTTCTATGCCTATGTTCAGAGCAATAAGAAGAACAGGGATGGGGTAAGCTCATTGCTAGGGGAAGATGGTCAAGCCTTAACAAGGGATGGAGACAAAGTGGAATTACTTAACTCTCACTTTGTGTCGGTCTTTAACCATAAGGCAAGCTGTATGATATCCTTGAGGATAAGCTGGTTAAATGTGGGCTGGATGGTGCAACCGTTGGATGGATTCATGGTTGGTTGAAAAATTGTACCCAACGAGTGTTCGTAAATGGCTCTGCATCTACGTGGAGGGAAGCCTCGAGTGGAGTGCCACAGGGCTTGTTCCTGGACCCGGTGTTGTTCAATGTTTTTAATAAATGACCTGGAGGATGACATACAGGGGATGCGTATCAAATTTGCAGATGACACAAAGCTGGGTGGGATTGCTAATTCTGAAGAAGATAGAGTCAGGATTCAAAATGTTCTAGATAGGCTGGAACAGTGGGCTGAGACAAATAAAATGAATTTCAATAGAGATAAGTGCAAAGTCCTACACCTAGGTACAAAAAAATCTAAGGCAGATATAGAATGGGAGGGACTTGGCTTGACAGCAGCACATGTGAAAAGGATCTAGGTGTTTTGCTTGATCACAAGCTAAACATGAGCCTGCAATGCAACATGACTGCGAAGAAAGCTAATGCAATCTTAGGATGCATGAACAGATGCATTAACAGAAGCATTGTGTCCAGATCACGGGAGGTGGTAGTTCCACTCTATTCTGGAATCCAAGTCTTATGAGGAAAGGCTGAAAGAGCTGGGTATGTTTAGCCTGGGAAAGAGAAGGCTTAGATGGGACATGATTACAATTTTCAAATATATGAAGGGCTGTCATGTAGAAGATGGAGCAGATCTATTCTCTCTTGCTCCAGATTGCAAAACTAGATCTAATGGGTGGAAATTACAAGGGAGTCAATACAAGCTAAATATCAGGAGAAACTTCCTAACTGTAAGAGTGATTGAGCAGTGGAACAGACTGCCTCGGGAGGTGGTGGATGCTCCTTCGCTGGATGTTTTCAAGCAGAGGCTGGACAACTATCTTTCAGGTATGTTGTAGGGCTATCTTTCGGCTATGCTCCTGCAGAGTGCAGGGGGTTGGACTAGATGACCTGCAAAGTCCCTTCCAGCTCTAACATTCTATGGATCTATGATTTCACATCCCCTTTAACGTAATTTCTTTTAGCTCATCTGTTTTGTTTTGCTGTATATTCGATGGCTTAACAGTTATTGTTTTAAAGTTTTGGCTTCCTGATTAGGCACTTTGGGAGCTCATATTAGCCAAAGCATGGGGATATAAATGTTTTAACTGAATATATATATTTAAACAATCAGATTTTTTTTCTTCCCCACCTCCAATAAACCTTGCTCATTCTCTGAATAATCTGGCTACAGTAGCTGTGCCATTAAGCTGAAGAAGTAATGTAGCTGGCTGGTTTGAATCTCTGAGACTCAATTCTAAATAGTTTCCTTACTGCCTAAAGCCAGCCTTTCAGTATAGGCTAGAAAGGCTTGTTGCCTCATCATATTTCAAGATATCTAACCCTCATCATATTACCAGATATCAAAACCTGATTTTGACAAACCCGCACTGCTGCAGGCTTTACCACAATATAATTAACTGCAATGGGAGTCATGCATGCCAAGCCAGAAACAAGGCACAGAACCAAGCAGTCAAGGTCAATTATCTGGTTATGGAGCCCACAATAAAAGAAGACTATTGTGATGAGAGAAATAAACAGAACATTGTGAATTTAGAAGAACTGGCAGAGAAGTCTCTTTCTTAAATTGCCAAAAACTCTGGGGGAAGGGGGCACTGAGCATCTATGTTTTTTGTTTATAAGGCAATAATGGAAATAAATCATCTAAGACACAACTGTTTCAGTTGTATTTAAGCCTAAAACACTGACAAACATCCCAAGATTACTTATCAAGTAGCCAGGTTTTGTACGGTGATACTTAGGTCACGGAAATTGTTTAGCGGTTAGTTGTAAGTGTAAGTTTTATGCAAGTCTCGGATGCATTTTACTTGGAAGCGTTTTATTTTATATTTAAAATTTTTATATTAGTTTTTAAATTTTCTGGAATGCTTTATATGTAAATATGTGTATGTGTATGTATGTATACACACACACACACACATATCTGTAAGCATATCTGGTCTACGGACTGTAAAAGAAATAAACTGAAAAAGCTGTAAAAGAAATAAACTTGGGAAAGTTTTAGAACAAATAATCAAACAGACAGTCCTTGAGCATTTAGAAAGGACAGTGGTGATTACTAAGAGCCAGCATGGGTTTCTCAAGAACAAGTCATGTCAGACTAACCTTATCTCTTTTTTGGAGAAAGTTCCTACCTTGCTGGATCAGGCAATGCTGTAGACATAGTTTATCTTGATTTTAGTAAGGTTTTTGATAATGTTCCACATAATACCCTATGACTGTTAGGTGGTTGACAGATCACACCCAAAGAGTGCTTGTGAATGGTTCCTCATCTTCTTGATGTCAGAACCCACAGCCAACAATGTAGTACACGCTTATCAGGAAAGGTAATACCTTATTGAAGAGTTATAGATGCATTAACATAGGCACTGTTAAGAATGACAGCTGCCCATGGGCATAATAGGATATAGGGTATTCGTATGCACACACCCCCACCGCCCTGGCCAATTAGCCACACTCCGGGAGCTCCGGCCATTTAGCGCTGAAGCTGGGAACCAAACTCTCTCCCACAGTTCCCAAGAAACCCAGACATCAACATGACCACCTGCAGAACTTGTAGATAAGTGTTACAGCAGCAAAGAAGCACAGAAGGAATGCAAAGGCAATTAGCATACAACTCACCTCCCCACCCCTATGGCAGCTTAGCTGACATACTGCCCCCTTGAAAATCAGCTTCTCTCCATTCATTCGGGAGGTCTCCCGGTCATTCCGGGAGGTCTCCCGGATTGTCCGGGAAAGCACGATAAAACTTTTGCAACAGCCTAGGGGCCTGAATATCCCGAGGCCTGTCCTCCCCCTGCCCGCCCGGCTCCGAGGAGGCGGCGGCGGCGCGAAGTCAGCAAGAGAGCGTTCCATGCGCATGCGCACGGAACGCTTTTGCACTTTCGGGGGGATTTAAACATCCCCCCGAATTTTTTTTCTACTTTTAGCACTTTTGTGCACACGTGGGGACTGGCCCATGTGTGCACAAACCTCCCCCCCCCAAGTGCCCCCGGAGCGCTGATTTAGCGATCCGCACTCCGGGGGCAACTTGGCTATTAGATATATAGATGTTTGGCTGTACAGTATTGTTACTTAACAGCCATAAAAGAGGAAGTACTGGAGTGCTATCCATGACAAAAGCGTTAAAAATCCCACTGATTCCCGATGAATGGGCTTCTGGAGATCTTGTGGATGTGTTACCATTCCGACAGTAATGATTATCAGGGATTGTGCACCAAAGAAGCCTAAAAACTTCACAAAATATCTAATCCCCCTAGAAGGAACATATTTGGAAACTAGAGTGCTCTACTGAAAGTAATTTCAATACATACCCTACAGTGAAAAATTGCCTCATCTCCTGTCTTCGAGATCTCATCAGTTGTTTGTATTCTCCAATACGCAGTTTCTTGCCATCAACAATACATGTGCGTTTTGGTCGAGGTTTATATTTGTAATTAGGGTACTTCTCTAGATGGATTTTACTTAGCCGTGCTTGCTCTTCATAGTAAGGTTGTTTCTCTTGGTTAGACATGGATTTCCATCGGGAGCCTGCATAGAGGAAGATATCTGTGACTTCTCAAGAAGGTTTGAGCAAGGGTTGTTCTCCATCTTAATGTGCCAGGGAAATCAACTCAATTGGCATGACCCTTTGGAATTCATTTCTAGGGTCTGTGGTATAATCAGCACAATTTAGAAGTCTCCCCAGTTTTTAGGCATTCCTCTCAAGTTTCCAAAATGACTACTTCACTTCCTTAGCCATACAACTAATGTGTACCACATCATTTAACAAAAGAATACTGTAACTTGCCACCACCTCAACAGCACAAGAAGGGCGGACACCATAATATTTGCTAATGAAACCATTCTCCTTTAAGTGATCTAATATAATGAAAACACATTGAATCTTGACTAAGAGAAACTCTCTCTATATTCATTGATTACCCCCCCTCAATATATTCAGTAAGTCATTAATTTATTAAGACACACTTCCTATGATCCAAGGAACTGCTACTTCCGTGTCATCCAGAAAGATGCAGAGTTGTGCCTTTTCAGCTAACAGCTTTGAATGCCACATGGCAAAACCTCCTCTTGAAACAGACTGGCAAGCTTGGAGCGATATGGCACCGCCTCTATTTGCAGCAGTTTAAATAGTTCCGGGAAGTTTTGATCAGACATCCCACCCTGAACCGGCTTCACTGCACACTTGCTCCATGGTCCATCATTCAGACTGTTGTGGCATTCTTCCCCCCCCTTTCACTCATACACATAAGCAGAGGTCATTTTGGGGGGATCGCAGTTCCCCTGGGTGAGGTATGGGGGGCGGGGCACATGACGAAGCACTGCCCCCTGCTTCCGGCCGCCCCGCTTCCGGCCCTCATTCAGCCAGGAGGAGGCAGGAGAAGAGGGAGGGTACGTTGCTTCCTCCCTGCCTCTCCCCACCCCTGCCTGCCTGGAGCCAGGGAGGGCCTTTGCGGGACTTCCTTGCACTCCCGCCGGCCTTGCAGGTCCACCGCCGGGCCCCTCATGGGCGGCCGGGGGCGGGGTGTGTGGCCTTATGACACACTTCCGGTGATGTCAGGGGGTGTGGCATATGCTAATGAGTTATGCTAATGAGTTCCCCTAGCTCTTTTTCTACGAAACAACCCCTGCACATAAGTATATATATGAAGTTCCGGGTCCTTTTTGACAGCTTCACAATCTTTCTGCCAAATACACCAGCCCCTCCCAGCCTCCTTCCCTTGCCTCTCTTCTGTGGGATACATGAGGGGGTGCAGTTTTACATAAGAGCAGTCCCATTGACTTCAGTGCATTTACCCTTGTGTCAGTCATGGGATTGTCTCAGACTCTGACACAGGAACAGGAGAGAGGGGTTTCTTGGGGGGGGGGATTTGTCACTTGAAAACAACTTCCTCAGGGACTCCCAATCCAGAATGACTACTTGGCTGCAGTGATTGACAACGCCAGGGTAATTATGCACTTATGCAAACATTGCTACCTGATTTTAAAAAAAAAGGAGCTGGAAATGGAAGGGAAGGCTCAGACTTCCCAAACGCTTTGACTTCGTAACAGGGGAGTTCAGACATCTGGAAACGTGGGATGAATGTGTGGGGTCCGTTAGCACTGGAATTCAACTACTGTCTGTTTACTCTGTCTCCACCTCACCTTCCAATGGGGTGAGTATGACTGGGGAACGGCTGCCAGATGTGGCTGTGTTAACCAGCCAGTTTAATCCATAAGGGGGAAAGCAAGTATATCAGGACAAACTGCCTATCTGACTGCAGCCTGAGATCAGTTCTTTGAATCCCAGCTACAGTATTAGAGGTACATTTGGGTGGTACTCATTCAATTGCTCTTCAAAGGTTTTTCACGTAGCTCATGCATGTGCATTTTGCCCATATGAATCTAAATTTATTATAATAAGTATAATCTTGAAACTTTGCAAACCCCTTGCTTTCCCAGAAAATCAGAGATGACCCTTTATCTGAGTCTTCTTACGTAAGATGCCCTTTGCTATAACTCTAGTTTATTATTGGCTTCCTGACCCTTGTAAATCCTATTACACATTATAATCATCCACTGATATGCAATGAGTCCACTGAGCGGTACTTAAAGTTGCATTTGATATAAAGTGGAAAGTACATTTGCAATGCTCTGCACTACTTAATTACTGTAAACGTTAATCACAAAAGTACACTAATAAAAGAAAAAAATATATATAACAGTTTACACAGAAGGATAAGCATTCAAGTCTGTTGCATTCTTTATGAAGAGATACCTAAACAGTAAAATTTAAAAAAAATAGCTTTCAGCTGGATAAAATGATTACAGCTGTGGTAAGCGTGGGTGGAAGCTATTCTTTTACCACGAACTCTTATACATCAACAAATGGAAAAGTTATATAAATATTATCCAGAGTCAGCAACACTCTGTTGTCAGCTCTAATATTCCAGATTCTTTTATTTTCTTTCGCCTTTTGCTATCGTCCTAGAAAATGTGTACAGCTATTATATGTAAATTAACTCTCTCTTCTTTTAGTGGGGCAGCTTTTGCCAGGTTGTACTCTCTGTTTAGCAAACATACAATCTCTGGCACTTCTTGAAATATTTGTACTGAATGTTTACATTTTAATGAATACTGTTACTATACTCCTAATAGGGTTTTTTTTCCCCCCTTTCAAAGAATGCACATAAATAATATAGATTCTCAATAGCTGCCAAGACTAGAACAGTGCAGGTTTTATACGAAACTGAAAGGCTATTCATAGAACTTACTAAAATGGTAGGCAAATAAGAGAACTTTTATGTAAAATATTGCACGTTTCAGAACAGAGTTCCATTTATTTCTAGAAAAAACATTTTCTTTGCGAGAAAATAGTAGGCAAGAGTAACAGCTTTGTTAAAATGCAATCTAAAGACTGACAATAAAACCAGGATACTTCAGACTTCACTATTACGATTTTTTATTGTGAGGCTTATTTTAAAATCCACATTTCACTTTGAATAACTGGAGCGTAAATATCAGTTTAAACATTTCACCACACATTCTCACGTAGGTTACCAATTCTCCTGAGAGAAATGCAGTTCAGGTTCTCTGAAAACTCAGCCAGCTTATTAGTACAAATATAAAACCCTTATTGCCAGATGATGTATGCCATGCTGGTTAAGTTTTACTTTTCTAAATGATAAATTAAATTAAATTTGGAAGTTTAAGCTTTTTGTTCTCACAAAGTTTTTTTTTAAGATGTCTTTTAACAATTAGTTTTATTTTGAATACTTAAGGATCATTTAGATGGTAGGAAATGAGTTGACCGCATAGTTTCTGTTTTTCAACCACTGCCATAAAGATGGACAATTGCATCGAGATAAGTCCCCCCACCCCGGATGGCAAATTATTGGTCAACATTTTCTTACAGAAATATCACACTACTAATTCATCGTGATTTCTAAGAATCTCTTGCACCCGGACACTAGCAGAATCTGATACATCTGTAGAAACAGTTGCTATTTTCCACTCAAGTAGCAAATCATTGGGAACTTCAAACTTTCCTAACTGCCTAAATCATTTGCATAATTTATGTATATATGGTGCATTCTCTCTCTCTTCTGCCTTTCTTTGAAATGCAAAGCATATCAATAAAACTTTTTTTCCACAATAAATTATCCATGTGTACCTTAGCCTTCAGTTCACTTGCTGTGATTTGTATGATCATGAATGCAACAAGTTTTTCGCAGCATGCCATGGAAAGGCAAACATTCAACTCTTTATTTTAAAGGTTATGCTAGGACATTTGCCGTTCCATACCCAGCTACAGGAATTTCTGTGTCTGAGGTTTTCTGCATGTCATGCATTCTCTTTGAATCATATATCCAAAACATAATGTCCTCCAGACACTTAAAATCTCAAAGTTATCACAGTTTCTGATTGTACAATTATTTATTGTTTAATACTTACCAAGGATTTTGCTAATATTAGAGTTATGCATGTCAGGGAACGCCTGGAGAATTTTTCTGCGTTCATCCTTTGCCCAAACCATGAAAGCATTCATTGGTCGTTTGATATGTGGCTCACTGCTACTTCGGCCCCTGGCATCCCTGTAGACTCGAGCTTCAGCCACAGTGGCGCCTCCTGTTGGCCAACAATAATACTGCTGTAGTTTAGCTGCAGAGCCATTCATTGCTTTACTTCCTGTAATATCAGGGCAGGAAGAAACAAGATGGATGCAAACATTATTACATTATGTGGATTATATGACACGTACTAAGTTCTCCCTTACACTTCCAGACCTATGAGATGAAGCAATTCTAAATTTGGTTATTTCAATTTTATCAATTGAATTCATGTTATGCCCTCCAAAACCTGTAAGAAGCTGATAAAACCCAAGAATTTCTAAAATTAAGGGACTATAACTGTCTTTATTAAAATATATATGCCCTAGGTATAATTGCTAAACTGGAAAAGAAAGAAAAACCTGATGCAGGACTGTGCCTTCCAATAAAAAAAAATGTGCATGTTATGGAAAGCAAGGCAAAAGCAGATATTTTAATGTAATTATTACTGATGTCTCATTGCTGATACTTCTGTTATACTTCCATGTGTATTTCATCCAAACTGGTAAATTAAATGAGAGGTCAGAATGGGACCAAAGACATTTGAATAAATGAAGCTGTAGTGCAGAATGATCTGATCAGGGGTCATTTCGTAGAAAAAGAGCTTGGGGAACTCATTAGCATAACTCATTAGCATATGCCACACCCCCTGACATCAGGGGCCCGGCGGTGGACCTGCAAGGCTAGTGGGAGTGCGAGGAAGCCCCAACAAGGCCCTCCCTGGCCCCAGGCAGGCAGGGGTGGGGAGAGGCGGGGAGGAAGCAACTTACCCTCCCCTCTTCTCCTGCCTCCTCCTGGCTGAATGAGGGCTGGAAGCGGGGCGGCCGGAAGCAGCAGGCGGGGCTTCATCATGTGCCCCGCCCCCTGCACCTCACCAGGGGGAACTGCGTTCCCCCGCGTTCCCCCCCGAAATGACCTCTGGATCTGATACGTCTAGGTTCCAGCATTCTTAATCCACTTTTCTTTCACTGAAAAACCACTGAGGTGTTTCCAGTTAAATTGTCCAACCAATTGACTCAAAGTTTTCTTCTTTGCCTAGGCCCACTAACGTGCCAAACCAAAGTCACTTTAACAAAGAATATTTTATTCTTTGCCTATTTTAATTAATAAATAAATGCAGTAATGAGAGTTTTGTGAGAATCTGCGTTTCAGAGTCCAGCGGCATTGCAACCATTGACTGAAACGTTGAGGACCATGCTCGATACACTTTCAAAAGACTACGATAACATTGGCACAATGATAAAGTGACATGATGAATAATTTTATATTCACTGTGCAGCAAAACAACAAAGCCTATCCTTCCTGCAACAATTATGACGGGACTGAAAGGAAAATGAACTGTATCTCACATTTCTTCCCACTACTTCAAATACATCTATGACAAATCCTCAGCATCTACAAAATGACATAGCTTGATGAAACCTAAACTGGTATAAATCAGTAAAGCTCTATTGAGTTCACAGTGACGGGATGATTTGTGCCAACACAGAACTTGAATCTATATTTTTATGTAGAATCCAAACTGCCAAATTGCTGTTTAAAAACCACTGTACTTTAAGGTACACAACAATTATTTTTGTTTTTGTTCTGTGCAGGCAATTCATTTTATGGATAAAAATCTTGGAACAGAAGATGCATAACTAATATGCTACCTTTTTGCCACTGTGCCCACAGTACATTAATTTCATTTAAAATGCACTGACCATACAGGATAAATTGATTTCACTTTATATGGTGCTGACAGCCATGTTTATTGTGCAGTGAAATGTAGTGTAGCTTCAAGCTGACAATATCCATCAACATATGGCAATGTGCTGACTGCTGGGCCAGATGAAGACATACATTACCCTGGAAGCAAAACACTTATTTCGATGTGACACTGTCTTCTTCTGAGGATCGCTAGGGTAATTTATGAAGCCCTCAATACCATTACTTTACAACTGACACCAGTTCTGCAATTGCATGCAGATAAAAGACGACAGGTCTGCTGTGGATATCAGATGCAGAAGTATTTTAATGGTACCCTAAGTTTAACTACTTTGCATTTACCAGCCGTAACTATTACTGCAGCCTCTCCATCACAAACACTGAGTAGAGGGAAATGTACATCACACTTATTCCTAAGCCAATATGATCAAATTGGAGTCTTATGGCACATCACAAAGGTTTGGAGCCAAACAATGAGTAAGTTTCTTCAAAAACTTCTCATGACTGTTACGTTGGTATATTTGCCCTATCGATGTGAAATGCACATACGTTTTGGCAATCCATTTTTTTATTCCAAAATGTTCAATAAGAATGGTTAAGACACTCCTCTGAAGCATACAGACTTGATCTACCACTCAGCCATCCATACCGTAACTACATTTCCCAAGCAAGAAATACAGTATAAGCATTTGTGAAAAGGTTTTAATAAGACCCTAACAACAAGCACATAAATAGCTCCAAGGACTATAACAAAATCTCAGAGAAATGAACAAAGTAGACGTTTTGGCAATCCATTTTTTAATTCCAAAATGATCATTAAGAATGGTTGAGACACTCCTCTGAAGCATACAGAGTTGATCTACCACTCAGCCATCCATACCGTAACTACATTTCCCAAGCAAGAAATACAGTATAAGCATTTGTGAAAAGGTTTTAATAAGACCCTAACAACAAGCACATAAAAAGCTCCAAGGACTATAACAAAATCTCAGAGAAATGAACAAAGTAGTCTGTCTCCAAGGACGATAACAAAATCTCAGATAAATGAACAAAGTAGTCTGTCGTCACTTCTGTCTATATAAGCCATGTGGAGAAAGGCAGAAGTGGTCTCTTAAATTGAAAGCTTTCCCATAATTTCTAGTATAGTCATCACTGATTCTTATACCCAGGGGTCATTTCGTAGAAAAAGAGCTAGGGGAACTCATTAGCATAACTCATTAGCATATGCCACACCCACTGACATCAGGGGCCCGGCGGTGGACCTGCAAGGCCAGCAGGAGTGCGAGGAAGCCCCGCCAAGGCCCTCCCTGACCCCAGGCAGGCAGGGGTGGGGAGAGGCGGGGAGGAAGCAACTTACCCTCCCTCTTCTCCGTGGTCTAATATGCGAATGAGCGGTGCTGTCAGGGTGTGGCCTAATATGCTTATGAGTTTCTGCTGCTGGGTGTGGCCTATTATGCTAATGAGTTCCTGCTGGGCTTTTTCTACAAAAATGCCCTGGTCATCACTGATTCTTGTACCTGAAAAGCACCAGCTGCTCCTAGTGGGAAATGATGGTGATGTGGAAATTCTTTACCCCATGCAGAAGAACATCAAATTTAGTGCTTTCTCAAGGGCTTTTTGTTCTGATTTGGACTCCCAATTTCGTGGATTATTTTCTGAGCTACCACTCAGGCTGTTGCCTATCCATCGTCTTTATGTGGTTTCTTCATGCTTTCTTAAACCACCTTTGATCTGCTGTTTCTTGCCAATCCACAGCCAAAGCATTCTTGCATTCCATATGGGAGGTATGCTGTCCTTTTAAAAAAGCCCTGGGGGCTTTAAAAAATGGCAATAACTAATCTGAGATCCAAGTTTTCATTTTTAAAAAAAAGTAAATCTCTATCTCTTGCTGTTTCCAAGATGCACCTTTTCCTTCCCCCCCTCCCCCTCTGCAGGGAGAAGGGCTGGACTTACATTAAAAAAATGAGCTGGGAATCCAGACAACTTAGTAGTTAGAGCATTAGCATAAATCGATCCAGCTATTGCCAATTTTTTTTAAGATTAAAAGGGTGCCTAGTGGCATAGCGGAATATTGGCTACTAAAGATCAGGGCAGGGATGGTGCAGGGCAACCCATCATTTGGAATTCTTATTGCCACAATGCTGAACTGGTGGGGTATAAATCCAATCTCTTCTTCTTCTGTTCTTCAATGGGAAAACTACACAGAATTGACAGCCTAGCATTGCATTGAATCCCAAATTTGCTACATATTGTATAAAAACAGCAAGTTCTTTATAAGAAGGTAACTCAAAGAATAGGGGGCTGCGGTGGCTCAAGTTGTTAAGACGCTGAACTGCAGACCAGAAGGTCGGTAGTTCAGCAGTTCAAGACCTGAGTGTGCTGCATGACAGAATGAGCTCCCCGTCTCTGGTCCCAGCTCCTCCCAACCTTGCAGTTCGAAAGCAAGAATTTGCAAGTAGATAAATAGGTACCGCTTCGGTGGGAAGGTAACAGTGTTCCGTGCTCTTGGCGTCTAGTCATGCTGGGCACATGACCACAGAAACGTCTTTGGACAGTGCTGGATCTTCAGCTTGGAAACGGAGATGAGCACTGCAACCCTAGAGTCGGATTCGACTGGCTTTCGAGCAAGGGAAACCTTTACCTTTACCTAACTCAAAGAATGTATTGACTTCTACATGCTACAACTCTACTTACATGTTTTGTACAAATGCCATTTGGATTAAAAAGAAGGAAAGAAAGAAAGAAAGAAAGAAAGAAAGAAACAAAGAAAGAAAGAAAAAAAGAAAGAAAACAGATGAGAGGGGGAGGGAGGGGGGAGAGAGAGAGAGAGAGAGAGAGAAGTCCTGTTGCTGTCTAGATGACCGATCAAGTCCAATATGCTATTTTATACAGTGGCCAATCAGATGTCCCTGGAAGACCCAGAACATAGTATGGATACCAAGGCATCCTTGTTGTTGTTCCCAGCACTAACATTCAGAAGTTTACGGTCTTTGAATATGGAGGTTCCATTTTGTTATCATGGCTAATTGCCACTGATGGATGCTATGCTCCGTGGATTTGTCTAATCCCCATTTGGATTGCCACATATCTTTACAAAAGTCAGGCATACTATACTGGCATGCTAGACCCCACAGACAGTCTTCTTGGAAGAACCCTTGCTCTGGCTGGAATGAATAGAAGCTGCCTCTTTAAATACTTCAGTTGAAACAATAGACTGAGGTCACTGTGTTCATTAGCAGGATTTTATAACCAAATCTCAGTCTAACCTGAGTCTTAATACAGATGAATGACCAACATAGTTCCTGACTTTTGATGCAATCATAATTGCAGACATAAACTCCAGGATACTGGAGGAATGATATCCCAAGGTAC